ATTTGTTGTGCATACATCTGACTGTGAGGGAACATCGCCTGGCCACCAAGTCAGGTCAGTTGCTCTCTGCCTGTCCACTGGAGACAGCTAATTACAGGATGGGGAGGGACTCAGGTATCTGACCTTCTCCTTGGAAACTGTTTACCTGTGCAATACACCTGTGTAAAGGCTCGTTATAACACAGTAGTGTCTAGACAGGTCAGTTGGTTGGACTTGTTGGAGATGAAAGTTTTTCAACATTTGGTATCCTTATAATCTTTTATTTATTGTTTATGAGATAGTATTTTCCATACTTCATGATTCCAAACAATGAACATTGCTTTTTTGGTATGATTTTGTTTCATGGAATATGCGACTTTGTCATATTATATGCTTCTTATATATTCAAATATTATCATTTTTATTTCATATGATCTTATATATACTACTCAAAAGAAGTTAAGGACCACCCGATTTTTTCATATTACTGCAGTTGATCTGTCTTGCCAAAAGAAGTTAGGAGAACCTGATTCTTTCATATTATTATTGTTAATCTGTCATGGCATGACGGATTAACTATGGTAATGTGAAAGAATCGGGTGGTCCTCAACTTCTTTTGAGTAGTATATCTCGACCTTCATGAACAATTGTTACAGAGGTCAAATGTGGAAGTTTATTTATTTGTATACATTGTATAGCAGTGTAATGATATGATTACTTTGGTAAGTTTGATGATAAGCACTTTAGCCAGAAGTTATCATTGCAATCATTATCTCTTGTCATTGTTATTAGTTTTAAACTTTGTGAGCTTCAAAACTAAGAACAAACATAATTGACATTATGAGATTTGTTAATGATAATAGTATGCTATCATACTGGAAATTATGGTATATATGCTTCATATACCCTATCAGCAGTCTATATCAACATCTCTCATCAGTCTACCTTACGACTGGCCTACAGCTATTTATACCATGTGGCCCAGCTACGTTGTTATAGCGAGGTAGTGGGAGGCATTTCCTTGTGAGATATTTAGTGTGATTGAATATCTGTCGTGTGGACAGTGGATCTCGTCTCATCCTGGTAAGTTCATTTCCCTGTCTAAAACACAGCTGGACTCATTATTGGCAATGTAATGAAGCTAATACCGATATTGGTTGTAAGACTGCAGGTGTGTACGTGTTGAGGTCATAGTGGATGTTGACAGTCGATGGTTTCTGGAGGTAGGCGCACCTTGCTTTCTCTCATACTGACTACAGTTGTTGGAAGTTTGAAATTGAATTAGATCTGTTGTAGGAATCATGGGTAATAAGCTGTTTACATGGTTTTTGTAGATTTTGATGGAAATGAGGGATTTGTTTCAAAAGTATATTTTAATGGTACTTTTATCAAATGTTCATTCACACAGACGACTGATGTTGTGATTTCATAGAAGTTACTGATGTGTTGTTGTACTTCATTATCAACAGGGTAGTCTTCTGATTAAAGCATTCGCTCGTCAGACCCAGGTTCGATTCCCCACAGTGTGTGAAGTCCATTTCTGGTGTTCCCCGCTGTGATATTGCTGAAATATTGCTAAAAGCAGCTTTAAACCTATCACTCACTCACACACTCACTCACCCATTCACTCACTCACTCACTCACTCACTCACTCACTCACTCACTCACTCACTCACTCAGTATCAACATGTTTTATAAACTATTTACCCAGACAGTTGAATACATCACTTTATTTGTTGCTAAATATAAGATATGCAGTTTTTATCATTGTTTATTAGATGACTGAAGTTATAATTTAACTTAAATTAATTTAGAGATAACGTGTTTAAATTAATCATTGCCAGAGACCATTGCCAATCGGACATTTGCATTTTGGCCACGCCCACGTCATATCTGAGGTGCTGGATGTTTGAACAAAAGGAATAAACTCAAGTGTCACTTTCATAACATGTATAGTGTTTCCTCACTAATTCACCCTTCAATACCTCGGCTGTAGCGTGCAGTAACAATTGGCTCCCAAAATTTACTTCCAATAAACTGGCACAATGTTTTTCCCCATCTCAAAAAACATTATCAGCTGATCACTGAGAGTACGTTACACTGGAAATACCAGTCAACAAATCCGAACTGAAATATGCAATCCCATTATTATGCAATCTGGTTATCAAATTGTGTTCATTGTATATCTGGATTTATGTTTGTAATATATTTTATAAATTTTATTCAAAGTTTCATTTCATATTGTTTACATTAATTTAGGCGAAATCGTGTGTGGAGTGATCGGTAGATCGCACAACTCACCGTTACTGACAGCAACCAAGGTCAGATTACCACTTTTGACGCCTTGAAATGAACTTTAGTTGCCAGAGAATGAATACATATATCATAAATGCCATACTTTGACTTGTTAAAAGTCATATTTATTGGCAATGTAACTGTTATATGTCAACATTACGTTTTCGCAATCGAAATACACGTAGCGTGGGTTGGTCAAATTGGTCCATACGTAAAAATATCCTGCAATAGCAGTCGACTGTACCAAAGTGTTACGCTTATGGTTCTTATAATTATAAATGTATATAGTAAAAGCCGCAACTAAAATAGCACAATTTTGGAACATATTCTTCCTGATAAAATAATAATTTCAGATACAGTTTGTTCCGACCATTGCATCAAAATTCTTTGAAGTTGTAACATTGGATACTTTTCAACTGAATCACAGGTAGATTGTTGCGAGCACAGCTGATTGCTATTTCCATCTTCGTTTATGAGAAAATACACACGGAAATCTTAACCGCTGCATATAAACCAATGCTTTGGAGAGTAGGAAATACAATTTAAATGGTAAATCGTCATGTCTAGCAAAGTTTTATATCAAATTTCATATTTTTATCGACCAAGTTTGTTATACCTTTTCATTCACCTGAATTCGCTGAAGGGATAGATCTACGATGTATTTCATAGCCTACAACACTCGATAGATACATTGATCTAATATATACAATTCCAACCTATCGGGATGTCGGTCAGTGTGCCTGTGGTGATTGATGTTGACCAAATATTAAAATGTCCGGTTTGCACTTTTTCAAATCGCACATTTTGCAGTCACAATGGGACAAGTCTGGCACATAGACTGATTTCCGGATCCCTGGTTGTAGCTATTTGATTTATATTATAGATTTATTATCACTGTTTGTTTTCAACTGATGAAAGAGGTGATCACAGTTCTTGTAACCTACTGGACATATATTTGGGGTTTTATGTATAAATTAAATATCAACATGTTAGGTGGACTGTTTCCTCATTCAGATGATTGAACTTGCTATAACTATTTGATCAATATAATTTCCTAGTATCAAAAAAAGTTTAATTTCATGGACATTTCAACTATGTTTATTTGAACTGAGCAATCATTGACAAGAAATTTAACTTGTGTATTTTTTTAATAACTGCCCACCTTGAAAACATTTTTGAGCACCCAGGGGGCTTATTACAGCAAATATGGTAATTGGATCGATGCTCATGATGTCAATCACTGGATTGTGTGGTCCAGACTGGATTATTTACAGACCTCTGTTATATAGCTGGAATATTGCTGAGTGCGGCATTAAACAACAAACAAACAAACATGATCATCATAAACTGTATTTTACATGACCTGTCAACCATTTCTTCATGAGATTTTATCAGTATATATTTTGATTTACACATTTTCTAGTTCAATATGTCAAAAGGCAGAAAGCAAAATATGACTTTGATGTTAACTTTCTGAAAAGAACTCATGAATTCGAAACTATAACAAATATATAAAGATTAACATATCTTAATCAGACAGCATGCTTTCCATTCTTTAATTAGGCAGGTAGGTTAAGTAGGTAGGTAGGTAGTGAGGAGAAATGGGGTTTAAAGTCGTACTGAGATTATTACACTTAAATAGTACATGCATGTGTGTGCATGTGTCTGTATGTGTGTCTGTGCGTGTGTCTGTATGTGTGTCTGTGTGTCTGTGCATGTGTCTGTATGTGTGTCTGTGCGTGTGTCTGTGTGTGTGTCTGCTTTTTCTAGTCCAGACTAATGTTGGTTTAATGGTGCTAGCCCACTGAGATACCAAGCCCAAGGTTAACAATGATACCCCACTCAGACACGGTATGCTAACTCTGAGCTGACCAGTCCTTGTTTTAGCCCCTTAATGCACGAGGCAGGGTAAGAACAAGTTAACGTCTTTTGGTGTGACACGACTGGGGATTAAACCCCCAACCCTCCACTCTTGGGGTAGACACTCTATCCACCAGACCATGGAGGCGGTCTTGAATAGACTCGTTCATAAAACATAATTTGTATCCTGTATTTTCGTAACAAGGAAATTTTGTATGTGGGAAGTTACTTGTTTTCGCTGCAGTCACTGTGCAAGGTAGCTGCACTCACCCTTCTCCCCTCTCCTCTTTCCCCTCGAGAGCCTTCGTGGTCTAGTGGTAGAGCGTCCGCCCGGAGAGCGAAAGGTCCATGGTTCAATCCCCGGCCGCGTCATACCGAAAGACATTCAAAGATGGTACTTGTTGTTACCCAGTCTGGCGCTAGGCATTAAGGGGCTAAAACAAGGACTGGTTGGCTCGGAGTCAGTATACTGTGTCTGAGTGGGGTATTCATGTTTAACTGCGGCATGGTATCTCAGTGGGCTAGCACTATAAATCGGCATCAGTCCAGAGTAGTACAAGCAGCCACAAACCACACGTGCATGCACGTCGCTATATAAGTGCAATAATCTTGGACGCGACGTTAAATCCAATTTCACCTCACCTCACCTCTTTCCCCTCTCTCTCCCAAGTATCATTGATACAAATCCTAATTCCTTTGCCAAAATCGACTTTTCAGATGATGTACAGTTCATCTTAATAATAACTGCCCTAATTTTTATATTTTTGCTAATATAATTCTATGGACTCAAGATTCTTATTCTTAGTAAAGGACAAATATGCAAAGGGAGATCACCCATACTGACCTATGTTTCTGTTGTGTTCCAGTATTTTCCGCTAGATGGCTACTGGTAGCCACATGATTTCTGTGCTCAATGAACAAGTCGCCACCATTCCAAGAATCAGCCTACTTTGTGCACCAGCGCTACGAGGACACTGCCCACGTTGTCTTCCAACAGCTTCAGAAGAAGAAGAAGGACGTGGTACGAGGGAAACAGACACAACCTGACGATGCCAGTGCTGGAGTTGAAGTGTCTCACTATGGTAACGTGGGCGTGATAGCACGCAAGGAAGCCACTGAACGATTCGCTGCATTAAGGCAGGCTGAGAAAGAGGAGAAGAAAGCAGAGAAGAGGTCAAAGAACAAAGACTCCACCCCAAAGAAAGGTGATAAAGGCTCGAAAGGACCAGCTGTGACTGAAAAGTACACTCCGTTATCGAGTCCAGGGCAGACACCTCGAGATTTGCAAAGTGATCACTCTCCGTACAGTCGCAGAGAGACCAGCCTCAGATCCAACAATAGTACACCATTTCAGAGCCCCCAAAGTGCACAGCTGTCTTTTAGAACTGAACTTGAATTTAAAGAGGTTCCACTGAGTCCTAAAGAAAGGCTAAACAGTCCTAAGGTAACGCCAAACAGTCCAGTAGTAACTTTGAAGAGTACTAGGGAGACTCTGAACAGTCCTAGAAGGACTTTGAGTAGCCCTAAAGATTCATTGAATAGTTCTGGGCAGACATTTAAAATTCCTAAAGAGGCAGTGAATAGTCCCAAGGAGCCTGTGAATAACCCTAAGGAAGCGCAAAGCAAGCCTAGAGAAACACCGAATCATCCAGTAGAAACACTGAATAGTACTAGAGTGACCTTAAATAAGCCTAAATCTTCACTGAATAGCCCTAATGAATCATTGAATAGCCCTAATGAATCATTGAAAAGTCCTAATGAATCATCGAATAGTCCTAATGAATCATTGAATAGCCCAAATGATTCACTGAATAGTCCTAGAGGTTCACTGAATAGTCCTAAAGAGCCCTTACATAGTCCAAGAGATGTTTTGAGTAGCTTCAGTTCTGTGGAAACTCAGGAGAACAGCATTGGCATAGAGGAGGAATCTCTACCATATAGCCCCAAGGAAGTCAGCTTCAACTCAGAACAAGAATTTGTACCGCTGAGTCCCAACGGGAGGGATCTAAGTTCGGAAGAAGAGAAATCGCAGGTCCTGGACGACAGTGACAGTGTTGTTGACTTTGGTCACTATGGTAACACAGGAGTGGTAGCCACAAAACAGGCGGCTTCCCGAGTAACATCGATCAGGCGGATAGAAGAGAAAGCTGTACAGAGTAAAGTCTGTAGGATTATGTAACATCAGTCGGATAGTAATGCCATTTGTGCCAACCTCGTAGTAGAAGTCTATGAAGGATTTGTACCTGGTTGTGGAATCATAGCTTGTGAATAGTGTAGATGCTGGTGATAATTTTGGAGATTTTAGGAGTGCTTCCAGTGAAGGTGATTTCACACTCGGATTAAATAGGTTTCTGCTTCACATTCATACCAAATTGAATCAACGAACTTCGTCTTGCAAGAGTCAGTTTATTGACTCAAAAATAAGTAATCACCCTGAAAATCAGCCTGCATTTGTAGTGTTACATACTGGTTTCAACAGAATTAATAAGTCTTGGAACTGGTGTTTGTGATTCTGTGTTCTCAGTCCAATATGGAGCTTCATCCTATGTTAGACACTGAGACAGGTGCCAACCCCGGCTTGTGGTATGTGCTGGCGACGTCCGGCGAGAGTCCCACCATGAGGGTAGGACACACATGTACATACGTTAAAGGGAAGGAGGATGCTGGGAAGGAGGATGCTGGGAAGGTGCATGTCATTGGTGGCGCGAACCCGAGCGGGATGTTCGGGGACACATACGTTCTGGATCTCAATACGCTGCAGTGGGATACCATCGACTCCACGGGGCTCCGAGCCAGGTATGAACACGTAGCGTTCTGTGCAGATAGTCAACCTGGAAAAATCTTTATTTTCGGAGGTGCTGATCAGAGTGGGAATATGAACGAGGTCCAGTGCCTGGATACAGCCGACAACATGTGGAGCACCGTGGCAGTGTCCGGGACGGCACCTGCACCCAGAACCTTTCACACAACGGCTGTTGTCAAGGACAAGCTTATTGTGTACAGTGGCGGCCATAGTGGGGCGGATCCAGTCGGAGATCGACAAGTCCACAGCTTCGATGTTGCTACTTCCACATGGTCTGTACTGAGCCTACGTGGTGATTCACCCAAACCTCGTCATGGACATGTCATGGTTGCTATTGGCAACAGAGTTTTTGTGCATGGTGGCATGGCTGGGTCATCTTTTCATGATGACCTTCATGTCCTTGACCTTGACAAGAATGCCTGGAGTAATGTGAAACGTAAGAAGATGTGTCCATCTGCTAGAGCAGGTCACGGAGGTGTGGCAGACGGCACAGATCTCTACATCTTTGGAGGGATGAACAGGGATGGTGCTCTCGATGATACATACAAGCTTGATACAGGTCAGTGAATTATGTGATTTTTAGGAATAGGAAACCTCTATTATATAATAGAGGAAGTATTCTACAATTCTTACAGACATGTTTTAATATGACATTGTATAAGAATTAAAATAAATTCAAAATTGATAGAAAACAGCTGTTCGATTGAGCTGTGTCACTTGACTTTTATTGACTTGGAAAAAGATTGTGGCTTTTTGCTTCAAAGCGGGTATAAGGGATTTATTCTCCCTCTCAGAAATCCGTGTGCAGTCTGTCTAGTTTGTGGCGAGGTATAAGGCATTTATTCTCCGGTTGAGAAATTTGCTTCCCTCAAGGCAAGATGCATCATATTGTTTTCAAGATCATGTGAACCAATCATTCTGACATGGAGGTACGATAATTAGAATTATTAACAATGATAATTATTGTTTGATAATACCTTACAGATAAAAAACATCTATTCCATCATTGCCAGCAATCCTGTATTTTGACTCACCACACTATAAAATCTTTAGAATTTCAACAGAAAACCTTTTTACTATCAAATATCCATATCACAAATCTCTGTGCATGTGAGGCCAGGAAGTCTTCACATCTTTCCTGTGTGTCCTGTCAACATCCACATGCCTCTGTGTTCTATAGTGCTTCTGTCTGTCTATTGTGCCTCTCTCTGTCTATAATACCTCTGTCTGTCTATAGTGCCTCTGTCTGTTTATAGTGCCTCTGTGTCTATAGTGCCTCTTTCTGTCTATTGTGCCTCTGTCTGTCTAGAGTGCCTCTGTCTGTCTAGAGTGCCTCTGCCTATCTACAGTGCGTCTGCCTGTCTATAGTACCTCTACCAGTCTATAGTGCCTCTGTCTGTCTTGAGTGCCTCTGTCTGTCTACAGTGCGTCTGCCTGTCTATAGTACCTCTACCAGTCTATAGTGCCTCTGTCTGTCTAGAGTGCCTCTGCCTATCTACAGTGCGTCTGCTTGTCTATAGTACCTCTACCAGTCTATAGTGCCTCTGTCTGTCTAGAGTGCCTCTGCCTATCTACAGTGCGTCTGCCTGTCTATAGTACCTCTACCAGTCTATAGTGCCTCTGTCTGTCTAGAGTGCCTCCGCCTATCTACAGTGCGTCTGCCTATCTATAGTACCTCTACCAGTCTATAGTGCCTCTGTCTGTCTAGAGTGCCTCTGTCTATCTATTGTGCCTCTGTCTGTCTATTGTGCCTATGTCTGTCTATAGTGCCCATGTCTGTCTAGAGTGCCTCTGCCTATCTACAGTGCGTCTGCCTATCTATAGTACCTCTACCAGTCTATAGTGCCTCTGTCTGTCTAGAGTGCCTCTGTCTATCTATTGTGCCTATGTCTGTCTATAGTGCCCATGTCTGTCTAGAGTGCCTCTGCCTATCTACAGTGCGTCTGCCTGTCTATAGTACCTCTACCAGTCTATAGTGCCTCTGTCTGTCTAGAGTGCCTCTGTCTATCTATTGTGCCTCTGTCTGTCTATTGTGCCTATGTCTGTCTATAGTGCCCATGTCTGTCTAGAGTGCCTCTGCCTATCTACAGTGCGTCTGCCTGTCTATAGTACCTCTACCAGTCTATAGTGCCTCTGTCTGTCTAGAGTGCCTCTGTCTGTCTAGAGTGCTTCTGCCTATCTACAGTGCGTCTGCCTGTCTTTAGTACCTCTACCAGTCTACAGTGCCTCTGTCTGTCTTGAGTGCCTCTGCCTATCTACAGTGCGTCTGCCTGTCTATAGTACCTCTACCAGTCTACAGTGCCTCTGTCTGTCTTGAGTGCCTCTGCCTATCTACAGTGCGTCTGCCTGTCTATAGTACCTCTACCAGTCTACAGTGCCTCTGTCTGTCTTGAGTGCCTCTGCCTATCTACAGTGCGTCTGCCTGTCTATAGTACCTCTACCAGTCTATAGTGCCTCTGTCTGTCTAGAGTGCCTATGTCTGTATATAGTGCCTATGTCTGTCTATATTGCCTCTGTCTGTCTAGAGTGCCTCTGCCTATTTACAGTGCGTCTGCTTGTCTATAGTACCTCTACCAGTCTAGAGTGCCTCTGCCTATCTACAGTGTGTCTGCTTTATAGTGCCTCTGTCTGTCTAGAGTGCCTCTGCCTATCTACAGTGTGTCTGCCTGTCTATAGTACCTCTACCAGTCTATAGTGTCTCTGTCTATATTGCCTCTGTCTGTCTATGTTGCCTTCATCTGTCTAGAGTGCTAGGATTCCTATTTGTTCTTCAGTCTTCCAAGGAAACATGAAACATGAAAGGGTTGTGAAAGCAATCTACAAACTAATTACGCTTACCATACTCGCTGATCTCCACAAGAGAGGCATTCATGTTTGTCTAGCTAATACACTTATTACAGTAACTCTGAATGAGAGTTTAAATATTTAATAGCATTTTGTCGATACTTTGGAGAGAGTACCTGTTTCTGATCATCGTTTTCACTAATTTGGACATCCCTTGTTAAACACAGAACACAGGGTTTCCAAGCATTAAGCAAGGAAATTATTTTGTGTAAGTGGGGAATGATATGTTCGTTACAACTTCTCAAGTCATTTGGCAAGATGCCTTTCTCTGAGTTTTCAAACATGAGGGAAGGTTCTCGGGGAACTAGACTGGAAAGACAGAAACCTCTTCAAGGAGATTTATTTTACAAACATATATTTCAAGGTCTGACACGATAGTCACCTCCCAATATGATGTCTGACAGTAAAACATCAGCTAAAGTGAACTTAAAGTGTATGTGTTGTTTGACGCCACACTCAGCAATATCCCAGCTCAATGACGGTGGCCTGTAAATAATCGAGTCTGGACCAGACAATCTAGACTAACATCTAGTCTCTGAAATGAACATATCGTACATAAAAAAACAGTTGTTCAGTTATCTTAATAAAAATATAATAAAAAGGAGCCCAGTGACTCTCTTCATTTTCAGAAGATACTGCAGTGATCTAGACTTGCCAAACATTATAGACTTGCATGGGCTGTATTTGATATATATTTGTATCAGGGTCTGTAAGACAGACTACAGACAAATCAGAGCTATGATTCATGCCAAGTCACCGAGTCTGACCACTTTCTCCATCAAAGTCACCTCTTACAACCAGCATCGGTTGCTAGGGACCAATTCCAACCAGAATCCCCACGAGTTCACAATTAGCCACCTCTTACGGTTACCACCAGCAATAGGGAGCTGGGGACATAGTCGGTCCAGGCCCCCACAGGATCATACTAAGTAGATCCTTGACTTTATGAGTGTTGAGTGAGTTTGATATAAGCCTGCTTTAGACATTACTTGAGGTATTTCATGGGATGTCAGCTTCATGTGGAAGGTGAGGATTTCATGAAATGTTTTTTTTTCAATCAATACCAGGTTTTTTCCTTAATACTAAGCGCCAGGCAGGGTAACAACAAGTACCATCTTGAAACATCTTTTGAAGGAAAGCCCAAGTGATGTAGGTCGTAGACGTACTTTAGTGAAACTCGTGAGCACGGGTATGGTGCTGCAGGATTTGAAAATGTCCCACTGTAGGGAGTGCTTCATTACTGTATCTACAGCGACCATGGAGAGGTGGTTTTGGCTGTTCCAGAAGTGGAGGAATGGGAAAGTGCATCCTAATTAAGCTGAGAAAACCAATGGTAGTGATTACCCCAGGGAAACACTGCAGTAGAGCAGAGCCAGAGACAGGAAGTGACATATAAACATGCTTCCCGAATCATCTGTGTACCCTGCCACCTTGCCAACAGGTGCCCCTCACTCCCCCTCACTCCCTCCCCCTCCCTCCCAGCAGCCACAACAGGCCTCACTACCAAGCATAGTTGTGATATGTACAGGAACTCAGTATGTGTTAAACTCTGCTGCTGCTGGTATCTTGGTAGCCAGGTTTAATTTTTTACAATAAGGCCTATTTTTGTCTTTTGGTTTACAAAATATTTGGCCAAAAAATCAATATAGGCGGTAAAAAATAAAAGATTTTATTATTCAATTTTCAGATTTTTACTGCTTCTCACGTTTTTAATGATTAAATAACAAACAATTTTTAACATGGCAAGATACAGAAAGATAATTGATTGTTTTTTTGTTAATATGGGCTTGTAAATTTGTACGACCTGACCCTACCCGGGTACCCGCTGTAGGTGTCAAGTTGGGTACAAAATGTCTGATTGGAATTTGATTTACTGGCGTCCAGGCAAAAGCTATTTAGATACACGCCTAAAACACTCTGATCATGCATACACTGAAGTTGACTGAAGCTTTATCTTTTCTCAAGCGTGTAATAGTCCGAAGGAATGCATGCATCGTCGGAAAGAAATACAACAATATTGACTTATAGTGTAACTTATAGGTTTATTGTTATTGGTAAAATATGTCACGTGACTAACCATGGGTCGGGTGGTCCTGTGGGTACCCGAGTCCTGCTGATGCGTGTGTAGGGAAGACATGGGTGTAACCATCTTTCACCATGTTAGGACTTTCCCCACATGCCTAACACACCTGATATTAACCTAAGTGAGTGAGTGAGTTGTGTATAACGCCGCTTTTAACAGTATTCCAGTTATATAGCTGCATGTCAGCTTAATGTGGGAGGAAAGCCCGAAGTGATGCAGGTCCTAGACGTTTACCACTTCGGTGAAACCCACAGGGACGGGTATGGTGCTGACAAACCTAGAAACATAATCGGGGCGAATTAGGATTAAAACCCACAATCATAGGTTTCTTTCGTGCCCAAGGGACGCAACTCTGTACAGCGAACTGCAGCGCCTTAGACGACTGGGCCACCCGTGCCCCCAATATTAACCTTAACAAGTAGTCTGTGTGGACGTCAGAACAGTTCATAGTTGTATAAAAATGAAGTCTTTTGTAATTTTAAGCTGCTTCCTGTAATTTCTTGATCAATAGACCAAGTTGCAGGTAACATGGATTTCTGGCTTGATTTGTGGTGGATTTTCTACCTCAGTATTTGTTGTGTTTATTTGCGCAATGTTTGTACATCAGTTTTTACGTTTAGTAAAAACACATCCTGTAATAAGCATGATAAGTATGTAAAAATAATAACTTCACCGATTGTTCATTAACACAGAGAACCTGTAGACAACAATACGAAATCATTGCAATAATGCAACAAAAGCCCCACCCATTCTGTTATCAGCCTATCAGAAGACAGTAGTCCATTAGTGGATGTGGCTTAAGAAATTTTCTTGATTAGCCAATCAAATGCCATAGAATCATTTGCAATTTATTTACAACAAAAGTGCAGCCAAGTCACTGTCAGTTTGAAATTCAAGTCACTGGCCTGAAGCCTGAGAGTGAGACTAATCAATGTCATTAGGAATAGTAGGCTCGTTTATGGCAGTCTGTACCCAGTTAGTTAAGAATAAATCTAATGAAACACACTAACTCACATCTCTTCACATCGCCTCGCCTCTCCTCTCCTCACCTCACATTTTTTCATTTATATCTCCATAAACGTAAAAAATATTGCAAAATTCTTATAAATAAATAAAATCAACAATAATTACTTCACAGACTTCTTATTTCATCATTGACACACACAAAACTGTAGACAACAGTACGAAATCAGTGACCTCGTTCTGCACAATACTGCAACAGAAGCCCCTCCCATTCTATTATCAGCCAATCAGGAAACAGTAGTTTCTAAGTGGGTTTGGCCATTTTTTCTTTGTTTTGAACATAATCGCAAATCAAATGCCACAGAAGCGCATGCAGTTTATTTATGTGATGATTAATAAAGTGGCCCCCTTTTTGGGGGTGGTGGTGGTAAAAAAATGTCAACACAAGTTGATCACGGTACCAGAACTCCTCTTTTGGTCAGACATGTCCAGTTTTGCAAATGTTTTAGACTGTTGATACATCTGACATCAAGAGTTAGAACTGATTCAGTACATCTGGTGTCCTCTTGTTTCTGTTATACTAATATATTCCTTCGAATACCCTATCTCTATGACACCACAGCCATAAATTCCTGTTTTGGCTGTCAATCACACTATAAAATCTGTACATTTTCAACAGACGTCTTCTTCATTGCTAACATATCAATTATGAGTAAAATATCAAATTTGAAATCAGTGTTTTTAAATATAAATTGTTTCTTTTACTTTTCTAATTTCAAATTTTGATATTTTACTCAAAATATGGCATCAAAATAAAATCCATTTGTTCTCAATCTGAGGCAATCACAATGATGAGATAGACCCACATGCAGCCAAACTTACCAATTCTTTTGAAGTCAGAATCCTCGTCCCACGATGTAGCTTTATGACAACTTTTGTAATCAACTGCAGTAGTAAGATTTCCTGCACTCGTCACATCAGCAAATAATACGCTCCAGAGAGTCCAAAACAGACTCTTAAATCAATAGGCCGGTTTACAGACAATATTGAATGCACTAACAAGGAGCCATTATCTCTCTTGTTGAGAATGAGTCAGAACAGACCAGCTTGATTCAGATACCTTGAAGGTGACGGCGGCATCATTGTCAACTACTTCCTCATCACAAGATGCATGTGCGCTGATCCCTGTGTAGCGTGTGCCGTCACGGCTGCCTGTGGGTTGTCGGAGATAGATGCAACTGTAGCCCTGGTATTGTCTGTAGATGGGGTCGTCCTCAGTCTTTAAGATGAAGTCTCTGTTTATCACTCAGGAATGTGGTTCTGCTTTATCATAGAGCTATTAGCCTGTCGTTTACAACCGTTTTATCACCTTAGCATTGGAGCTTGATAGAGATTCGGCCCTTGTTTTATGAGACAGCTGAAGTAGAAATAATGCTTAATTGATGCACAGCCGAACGATGGTTATTAATATGCACATTTTGTCAATTAATATTTGTCATCTAATCGTTCCCAGATTAAACTTCCAAAAAAGAACAGTTGTGACTTATGAAACAATTACAGGCAAGCTATTGCCCCTTTTGTTTCGTAAATTATGCAACTTTATTGTGTGTGTGTGTGTGTGTGTGTGTGTGTGTGTGTGTGTGTGTGTGTGTGTGTGTGTGTGTGTGTGTGTGAGAAGATACAAAATCATATATATGTGTGTTACTGACAGACTTAGAGCTTCATGTTATGTAAACGTGGTTAAAATTGCTCAATTTTTTTGTTCATTGTGTTGAAGCCCGTTGAATGGGAAATGTCACCTACCTAAGTGTAGCTTGCTCCACCTATCCTAACTGGCTGCTTTAATGACTGTACACATTCTTCACTAGGTTCAATGTTATAACTTATTTCTTATCAATATTTGTTCGTAATGGGTGTTTTAATACTTCTTATCTCCCGTATGGTAATTCTGAATAAACTTCCCACTAAATCTCTCCTATTTCTACAAAAGCCACAAGCACAACTTGCTTCCTTGAGGCCTAATGCAGTGATCTGTATTCCTGTAGACTTGATACACCGAGAAAGCTTCCTGTGGTATATCGTTCTTATCACATGGAAGGAGATATGTACCAGTATTCCCAGTCAGTACAGATGTACAGGAATACGTACAGTCCGGTATGTAGGATCGCACAGCACTGTACAGGCGGGTTGATCCTAGTGATCTCGGGCTGTCAGAATGTAGTGTGCAGTATGTTTGTCTTACCTGCAGCAGGGACTAACTGTGTCAGGCTGTTGTGCACACACATATGTGTCAGGTTCTTATCAAGTTCACTTTTGAAGGACAGCTGCACTTCCTTTTGTGTGTCCTGGGGAATGTTATGATAGGGCTCTTCCAACATGACAGCATTGTCTTGAATGTAAACATTGTCATATTCAGATATACATGCTACAGGGAGTAGTACTTTATATACATGCTGCAGGGAGTAGTACTTTATATACATGCTACAGGGAGTAGTACTTTATATACATGCTGCAGGGAGTAGTACTTTATATACATGCTACAGGGAGTAGTACTTTATATACATGCTGCAGGGAGTAGTACTTTATATACATGCTGCAGGGAGAAGTACTTTATATACATGCTGCAGGGAGTAGTACTTTATATACATGTTACAGGGAGTAGTACTTTATATACATGCTACAGGGAGTAGTACTTTATATACATGCTACAGGGAGTAGTACTTTATATACATGCTACAGGGAGTAGTACTTTATATACATGCTACAGGGAGTAGTACTTTATATACATGCTACAGGGAGTAGAACTTTATATACATGCTACAGGGAGTAGTACTTTATAAAGCTGCAACTGCACTTTATCAAGATTTGCAGTTATATCCATGAATATATTTGTTTTTGTAAGTCTTGTTTGAGGAATATGAGGTCTATTAATATCTGCAGACTATGTTAAATGAATACACCTTTGGTTGTAATTTGTTCTATGAAGAACTTCGTATGATTATGATCCTGTTTTTGTAACAACCCCTCTGATTGTGATGTTGTTTGTGTAACAACCCCTCACCACCACCCTACACACACACTCCCCCCCACCCCAATACACCCCTTCCCCACACATCCCAACACAACAGCCCACACCCTTCTATTAATCAAATAATAAATCAATTGATTGTTTCATCATTTCACTGTAATTAAACTGACAGAATGATTTAAGAAAGAAAAAACCAACATGCTTGTTTTGAAAGGAACTGGTCCGAAGAAACCTCACACTTTTATACAAGTATGTACAAGTATACAAGTATAGAATATCCACGGGCTCACCACGCCAATGAAATCAGATAACAGCAGTCATTCTGATACTTCAGCTGGCCCCCAGCCAATGAACCAGTAGTTAACTTGACCCCTGAACAGAGAATCAATGGACAGAATTGCTCATGCATGTTTTGAAAATATCAGGCATAAATGAAATAATAAATCTCAGCTACTTTCACAAGTTTATTGCTCTGCTGTTTAATCAATAAACCTACAACCCACAGCTCTTTGCCACTTGACATAAGGAAATAAATATTGTGTTAAGACTGGTTGTATTTTATGATTTACGGATTCCACTTTTCACAAAACCCTTGTAGCCCTACCCTACTACAAAGTGTAAAGGTCCAAGCTTGCCATGACTGTATTCACCTCACCAGGTCAGAGCGACCTGACTTGAGGGCGCCCGGTCATGTGATACCCAGCAGGTCATGTGATCCTCAGTCCTTGGGCCAGCACTTATAACCCTGGTATTGTGTTTGAACTGTGTCAAGTATCCTCTCATCCCACAAGCTCTGAGGCATCTCTCCTCCTTCGTACATCTTCTGTATTGTAATCATTATTTGCTTGTCCCATGCATCAAAAGTTTCATGATATTTTGTGAACTTTGAAGTCAGACTTGGATTTATAGTAATTCTATCCTTATAATAGGCACGTTTAGATAAGCGGACAGTCTAAGGACTTTTATAGTCGTTTATAGGGACAACTTGTTTTTATTATTTATGTAATCTAGATATTATGATATAAACTACTAATTAATACCATACAGACTTGTGCAAGTCTAGAGAGACTTATACAAAGAACTTTGTAACATGAGTCGATATGAGTCTGGTGCTTTTGTAGAGAGGCTCACTGAAGGTGTGGTTATCTTTTTAATCAAAATAATTGTATCCTTTTTCTTTTAAATATATACAGTAAACCACGGTTATTATGACCTCAAAGGTACCACTAATTTTAGTTTGTTATAACTGTAGTTCGTTATAAGCATATAAACAGCATATATACAACAAATGCACGGGACCAAAAAGCACTTTGTTATATCCGTCAGTTCGTTATAAGCGTGTTCGTTATAAACATAGTTTACTGTATATGCATAAAAAATGAAAAAAATAAAGTGGTTGTCTTTGATTTGTGTATGAGTGGGTCAGAAAATATTCTCATCCAAGTACTTAAGCTTAATGGTTGTTGGTTGGTTGGTTTGTTGTTTAACACCGCACTCAGCAATATTCCAGCTATATGACGGCGGTCTGTAAATAATCGAGTCTGGACCAGACAATCCAGTGATTAATACCATGAACATCGATCCACGCAGTTGGGTTCGATGACATGCATCAACCAAGTCAGCGAACCTGACCACCCGATCCAGTTAGTCCTCTCTTACGACAAGCATAGTCACCTTTTACGGCCAGCATGGGTTGCTGAAGACCTATTCTTCCCCGGAATCTTCACTGGTCTAAGCTTAATGGTCACAAATCTGTCTGATCCAGGGTAGGTATTGCTGATGAAGAGGGCCCAGGGCCTGGCATGTTTCACATGTGAAACTGCATACAGACTTGCTTCATGACCCTCAGGGGCGGTCGGGTAGCCTAGTGGTTAAAGCGTTCGCTCGTCACGCCAAAGACCCGGGTTCGATTCCCGACATGGGTACAATGTGTGAACCCATTTCTGGTGTCCCCGCCGTGATATTGCTGGAATATTGCTAAAAGCGGCGTAAAACCATACTCAGTCAGTCAGTCATGACCCTCATGAGTGAGTAGAACTGTGAAGATCTGGGGTAGAAGTGTAGGAGAAACCATGTATCCGAGGGATTACTAGAGATTGTAAACCCTCACATGAGGGAACGTCCCAAGGAGACATGGTTTGTCCAACTTATAAACCGACTCATCTCATAGACAATGTTTTTAATTAAATAACTGTAATAAAAACTCTCAAATGTATAACCTGTATCGGAGATGAAATATCGTCTGCAGTCGTGAACTCGGTTCAATAAAACCGGTGACCTCAGCATGTGGGTTTCGCAATGGTGCGCAATCTTCACGTCTCGTAGGCTGTTCATAGTTTTTATTCTAGCAAGGGTTTACAATGATTGTAAGCCCTCCTATGAGGTGTTACCACAATTTCAAAAACTCCATATCGAGTTACACAAACAGCCAGTAGGTTTATAAAAGGTCTTCAACAACCCATGCTTGCCGTGAAAGACGACTATGCTTGTTGTAAGAGGTGACTAACGGGATCAAGTGGTCAGGCTCGTTGACTTGGTTGATGCATGTCATCATATCCCAATTGCGTGGATTGATGTTCATGATGTCAATCACTGGATTGTCTGGTCCAGACTTCATTATTTACAGACTGCCGTCATATAGCTGGATTAATGCTGAGTGAGTGAGTGAATTTTGTTCTGGACAAGGCAAGGCTGGACAAGGCAAACCAGTGACTGATAAAGTGAGCAACATTCCATGCTGTCTGGATATCACCAAATCCAGTTACAGTTCTGCCAAACCAAATTTTAACGACTGTGGAATAAAATAAGAAAAGCCAGTCCTTGTTTTAATGCCCTTACTGCCAAGCACCATGCAGGGTAACAAGAAGTAAGATGGATACCCCACTCAGACACATTATACTGACCCCAAACTGACCAGTCCTTGTTTTCATGCCCCTACTGCCAAGCACCATGCAGGGTAACAAGAAGTAAGATGGATACCCCACTCAGACACATTATACTGACTCCAAGCTGACCAGTCCTTGTTTTAATGCCCTTACTGCCAAGCACCATGCAGGCTAACAAGAAGTAAGATGGATACCCCACTCAGACACATTATACTGACTCCAAGCCAGTCCTTGTTTTAATGCCCTTACTGCCAAGCATCATGCAGGGTAACAAGAAGTAAGATGGATACCCCACTCAGACACATTATACTGACTCCAAGCCGACCGGTCCTTGTTTTAATGCCCTTACTGCCAAGCACCATGCAGGGTAACAAGAAGTAAGATGGATACCCCACTCAGACACATTATACTGACTCCAAGCCAGTCCTTGTTTTAATGCCCTTACTGCCAAGCACCATGCAGGGTAACAAGAAGTAAGATGGATACCCCACTCAGACACATTATACTGACCCCAAACTGACCAGTCCTTGTTTTAATGCCCTACTGCCAAGCACCATGCAAGGTAACAAGAAGTAAGATGGATACCCCACTCAGACACATTATACTGACTCCAAGCTGACCAGTCCTTGTTTTAATGCCCTTACTGCCAAGCACCATGCAGGGTAACAAAAAGTAAGATGGATACCCCACTCAGACACATTATACTGACCCCAAACTGACCAGTCCTTGTTTTAATGCCCTTACTGCCAAGCACCATGCAGGGTAACAAGAAGTAAGATGGATACCCCACTCAGACACATTATACTGACTCCAAGCTGACTTGTCCTTGTTTTAATGCCCTTACTGCCAAGCACCATGCAAGGTAACAAGAAGTAAGATGGATACCCCACTCAGACACATTATACTGACTCCAAGCTGACTTGTCCTTGTTTTAATGCCCTTACTGCCAAGCACCATGCAGGGTAACAAGAAGTAAGATGGATACCCCACTCAGACACATTATACTGACTCCAAGCTGACTTGTCCTTGTTTTAATGCCCTTACTGCCAAGCACCATGCAGGGTAACAAGAAGTAAGATGGATACCCCACTCAGACACATTGTACTGACTCCAAGCCAGTCCTTGTTTTAATGCCCTTACTGCCAAGCACCATGCAGGGTAACAAGAAGTAAGATGGATACCCCACTCAGACACATTATACTGACTCCAAGCCGACCGGTCCTTGTTTTAATGCCCTTACTGCCAAGCACCATGCAGGGTAACAAGAAGTAAGATGGATACCCCTCTCAGACACATTATACTGACTCCAAGCCGACCGGTCCTTGTTTTAATGCCCTTACTGCCAAGCACCATGCAGGGTAACAAGAAGTAAGATGGATACCCCACTCAGACACATTATACTGACCCCAAGCTGACCAGTCCTTGTTTTAATGCCCTTACTGCCAAGCACCATGCAGGGTAACAAGA